CCTAGCCGGACACATGGACTTAAACTCCCAGAATTCCCTAGCCAGACTTGTGGACTTCAACTCTCAGAGTTCCCCAGCCAGACTCGTGGACTTCAACTCCCAGAATTCCCTAGCCAGACACATGGACTTCAACTCCCAGAGTTCCTCAGCCAGACTTGTGGACTTCAACTCCCAGAGTTCCCCAGCGAGCCATGCTGGCTGGGGATTTCTGGGAGTTGAAGTCCCCAAGTCTTAAAGTTGCCAAGTGCTGGATGGGGAATTCTGGGAGTCGAAGTCCACTAGTTATAAAGGGGTTAAGTTTGGAGACCCCTGGTCCAGAGCTTGCAAATACTGAAACAGATAACAAGACAGGGTAGTCCTTGGTTAACGACGACTCGTTCAGTGATGGTTCAAAGTTACAACACCACCGAATGATGGGGAGGTGGGAATCGGCTGCCACTCATGAACGCTGCAGAGTCCTTTCCTCACTTCATTCGTTGTTTGTGACCTTCCCTGCTGCCTTCCCATGAGCAGTTGAGGATGTTTGGGCAGGTCTCCCCTACCTGTGCATTTTCCCCCAGCCTCTCTGGGTTCATGACCTGCCAGCCACTCACACATCCATCGGGCAGCAGCCCTGCTACTCTCAAGTACAGGCAGTCCTCGACTTACAACAGTTCAATGAGTGACCGTTTAAAGTTACAACGGCACTGAAAAAAAGTGGACTGATGATTGCTTTTCACACTTAGCGACCATTGCAACACGCCCCCCTGGTCACCTGATCAAAAAATCAGACACTTATCTTTAGGACGGTTTTACGGTGTCCCTGGGGGTCATGTGATCCACTTTTGGGACCCTCGGAACAAGCAAAGCCAATGGGGGAAGCCAGATTCACTTCGCCACCCTGCTACTAATTTAACTGCTGCGATTCGTTTAACAACGGTGGTCAGAAAGTCGTAAAATGGGACCAAACTCACTTAACAACCGTTCCGCTTAGCAACAGTAACGTGGGACTCAATTGCGATTGTAAGTAGAGGACTGCCTCTCTAAAAAGCAAACAACCAGAACTATTAACCCAAAGCCAACAGTCTTGATGATTAAAGAACACCCATCGGCTCTCAAAACATTCTACGGGTAGTCCTCGACTTATAACAGTTCGCTTACTGACCATTCAAAATTACAACGGCGCTGGGAAAAGCAACTTATCACCATTTTTCACACTTACGACCGTTGCAACGTCCTCACGTGATTTATATTCGGACGCCTGGCAACTGACTCACATTTATGACGGTTGCAAGTGTCCCGGGGTCCCGTGATCAACTTTTGGTGACCTTCTGACAAACGAAGTCCGCGGGGAAGCCAGATTCACTTAACAACCAAGTTACCAATTGCAGTGATTCACTTAACAACGGTGACAGGAAAAGTTGTAAAACAAAAAAAAGGGGGGGGGCACAAAACTCAACAAATTTCTCATTGAGCAGCCTACATTTGGGGCTCCGTGGTGGTCGTTAAGTCGAGGACTACCTGCGTTGGAAACCAATCAAGGTGAAAAACAAGACCGATCCTGGTTTCGCCTCCCATCCCGAAAAGGCCAGAAGGGAAGATCTTGGCGTTTTTATGGAAAGCTTCAAAAGGGTTATTCGAGAAGGACAATTTGGGCTTACATTTTTTGACCGTCGAAACTTGATCCAGGAACGGGTGATTGAAGAAAGCTTCTGTAAAGAGAAAAGGGAAAACCACCACAAACTTGAGTTCACAGCAATTGCCTTTACGATCGAAGCCCACTTGGGGCTAGGAAATTACATGGTTAAGCAAGGTTTTCAAAGGCACAGACAACGCAGTTTGGAACGGGGAAAAAAAACGTACCCTGGGAATTTAAAGAAGGCCTCAGGCTTCGCGCAGTGACCGGCCAGTGATATTGAGTGACCTGTTGCAGAGCTGGAATCTCTTCTGGTGTCTTGTGACTGTCACTTCCCAGCTGGCGGGAGATGCCGTCCCAAAGCATCCAAGAGAAAACCAAGCTGGAGAGCTTTCTATTTATTACATTAGTATCTTCCCAATAGTTTGCCATTTTCAGATGGGGTGGACTTCAACTCCCAGAATACCCCACGGTACTTTGAGAGGTGAAGTCAATCCATCTAATCTCTAAGGCCCAAACAAAGGTGTTGATTTCAAGAGACTTTGTTTTTTTCTTGAAGATTGTGGTTGTAAGTCAAGGACTACCTCTATAAAACATTTTTTACAGAGTCAACACTCTGGATCCTCATTTTACTGACCTTGGAAGGATGGAAGGCTGAGTCGACCTTGAGCCGGTCAGAATCGAACTTTCTGGCTGTGGGCAGAGTTAGCCTGCAATACAGCACTACAACCACTGCACCACCATGGATTCCTTCCTTCCTTCCTTCCTTCCTCCCTGTTCTCCTTCCCTCCATTTCTCCCTCTCTCTTCCCTTTGCCTGCCTGCCTTCCTTCCTCCCTCCCTGTTCTCCTTCCCTCCATTTCTCCCTCTCTTCCCTTTGCCTTCCTTCCTTCTTCCTTCTTTCCTTTCTTCCTCCCTCCCTTCCTCTGTTCTCCTTCCCTCCATTTCTCCCTCTCTCTTCCCTTTGCCTGCCTACTTGCCTTCCTTCCTTCCTTCCTCCCTCCTCCCTGTTCTCCTTCCCTCCATTTCTCCCTCTCTCTTCCCTTTGCCTTCCTTCCCTCTTGCCTTCCTTCGCAAGGAATAGCACTTAGACTTATATACCGCTTCAGTGCCTTTACAGCCCTCTCTAAGCAGTTTACAGAGCCAGCCTCTTGCCCCCAACAAACTGGGTCCTCATTTGACCCACCTCGGAGGGACAGAAGGCGGAGTCAACCTGGAGCCAGTCAGGATCGAACTTCCTGGCCGTGGGCAGAGTTAGCTTGCAATACTGCCTTCTAACCACTGCGCGACCACGGCTGTTAAGTCAAGGGCCACCTGAACGGCGGTGATTTCATTTCAATGGACCGACTGTCACAGGCGGGCTGTCCTTAAATTTCACGAAGGGCAAATCCGCGCAGAGGCAGCTTTCTTGCCAAGACCATTGATTTCCTTCCATTTCAGATGGGGAGGCCTATCAATTCTCCTCCCAGAGGACCCTCTGGCCCTTCCGAGATGCCGGAGTGGGAATCGGATCGATTCAAGAGGGCATCTGGATTACGGTCAGAAACTGGCAGGCCCATCCTGGGGGCCTTTTTTCTATCATTTGGAATATATTGCATCCAATTTTGGTCACCGCGACATATGGAGGCTTTGGAAAGAGGGCAGAGAAGAACGACAAGGATGATTAGGGGACTGGAGGCTAAATCGTAAGAAGAACGGTTGCAGGAACTGGGTAGAATCTAGTTTAATAGGAGCCTCGGTGGCGCAGTGGTTAGAGTGCAGGACCGCAAGCTGCTCCTACTGCAATTTGGCAGATCGAATCCCACCAGGTTCAAGGTCGATTCAGCCTTCCGAGGTCAGTAAAATGAGGACCCAGATTGTTGGGGACAATATGCTGACTCTGTAAACCGCTTTGAGAGGGCTGTAAAGCACTGTAAAGCGGTATATAAGTCTAAGTGCTATTGCTATCAATGAAAAGGACTACGGGGACGGGGGGGACATGATAGCAGCCTTCCAATATCTCAGGGGCTGCCTCAAAGAAGAGGGAGTCAAGCTATTCTCCAAAGCACCAGGGGGCAAGGCAAGAAAAAAATGGATGGGAACTAACCAAGGAGAGAAGCAACGTAGAACTAAGGAGGAATTTCCTGACAGTGAGAACAATTAACTAGTGGAACAATTTGCCTCCAGAAGTTGTGAATGCTTCAAACACTGGAAGTTTTTAAGAAGAGACTGGGCAACCGTTTGTCTGAAATAATATAGGGATTCGTGCTTGAGCAGGAGGTTGGAGTACCTGTACAACATAATTTCTCAGTACTTTGGCCTTCGAGGAATGTCCAAAAATGGATGGAAACTAATGAAGGAGAGAAGCAACCTGGAGTTAAGTAGAAACTTCCTAACAGTGAGGACAATTAACCAGTGGAACCACTTGCCACCAGAGGTTGTGGGTGCTTCATATCACTGGAGGTTTTTAAGAAGAGATTGGACAGCCACTTGTCTGAAATGGTATATACGGTCTCCTGCTTGAGCTGTGGGCTGGACTAGAAGACCTCCAGGGTCCCTTCCAGCTCTATTCTGAAGTGAACCTCCAAGGTCGTTCCAACTCTGTGATTCTTTGTTCTATCAAACAAATCTTGAGCTTTTTCTATCAAACCATCATAATTGATTAAAACAAAAAAAAAGCCCTCAACTTTGATTGTCTTGGAGGGATGTTAAGAGGGGAAAAGACAATAAAAAAACTGCCTGATGAATTGTTATCAGTTTTATCAGGATTCTAAACTTGGGACAGAAATCCACATGTATCCTTACATTCCTTCTGCTCTCAAGACTGTAAAAAAGGAGGAAGACCATTGGGATGGTTCACCGAGGGAGAAAAAGCACGCAACAACGACAACTAGGTAACACAGGTAGTCCTCGACTTACAACAGTTCGTTTCGTGCTACAACGAAGTTACAACGGCGCTGAAAAAAGGGACTTGGGGCCGTTTTCCATAGCATCTCTATGCTCAAGTGGTCAAAATTCAGAGGCTTGGCAGCTGACTCTTATTTACGACAGTCGCAGTGTCCCTGGGTCATGTTTTGCGACCTTCTGTTGTGGTTCGCCGGCAGCAGGTGCGGATGGCTGAGGTCTCGGAGAGCGAGGACTGAGATGAGGGGCCTGCGTGGGATGCAGGGATGGGGCCAGGACCATCAGGGAGTGGAGTGCTGCCTTTGGAGATTGTGGAGGCTGGCAGCAGTGAGGAAGAGGAGCCCGAGGAGCCTGTGCCAAGTGCTCATGTGCGCAGGGCTGCTCAAAGGAAAGAGCAGCTGCAGCAGCACAGGTGACTCGGGAGTAAGGCTGTAAGGTGTTGGCCCCTCCCTCAAGAGATAAAAGCCAGCTGAGAAACCATAGTTCTTTGCAGGAAGCAAAGAAGTTTTTGCACTCAAGCCTTGTGGACGTTCAGAGTATTTTGGTTGGTGTTTGGAGACTCTTTGGTTTATTGTTTAGGAACTTTATCTGGTGTTCTTGGCAGCCTTGGAAAAACTTGGCAAGGCTTTCCTGTCAGAGCTAATTAGTTGGAAGCAACCTTTTATCTGTGAAGGAACAAGATTCGTGAATGAAACAGTAAAAGGTTGTGGTGCTACCTTTGTCTTGTGTTTGATCTCTTGGAACCAGGTTTGGTTCAGAACACCTTCGGACAATCAAAGCCAATGGGGAAGCCAGATTCATTTAACAACCGGGTTATTAATTTAGCAACTGCAGCGATTCACTTAACAAATGTGGCAAGGAAGGTCATAAAATGGGGGCAAAACTCACTTTAACAAATGTTTTGCTTTAGCAACAGAAATTTTGGGCTCAACTGTGGTCGTAAGTCAAGGACTAGCTGCACTCTTGCATTCCTTCTGCTCTGAAAACTTTAAAAAAAGGACAAAGGCAGCTGTATTGGTTTGAGAGGTGGAGGCGAAAACACTCGCAATCTACAACTGTGTTAAGGCTATTGTTGGGGCTATCCAAAAGTACACACAAACTCCCACATGTATGTGTGTGTGTGTGTGTGTGTGTGTGTGTGCACGTTTGTTGATCTTATGCTGGCAGTAACTGCAAAGGTTGGTAGTTGTAATGCTTTCTCTCCAAGTGCTGCTCTTCGACAAGCAAGCAGAGCGTTCAACTTTCAACCTTCCAGGTGGGACGATAAGTCATCTTTATATTGACAAAAGGTTCCTTGGAACTTCGCAGGAAAAACAGTGTGTGTTTTTCTGTGTTTGTGTGTGTGTGTCAATGATTATGGGGTGGATGCTCTCCACACGCCTCCCATATAAACCTCCCCCGTTAAGAAAAAAAACCTGCTTTGTGTTTTTCCACCGCAAATTGTTAGTGGGGATGATTAACAAAGCTTAAAGCAAGGTGTGCGTGTGTGTGTGTTGGCAAAGCAAACAACGGCTATAATCGAGAGCACATCAGTCACCTGGAACATTTGAAATCCCTGGAGGAAAAAGACTAGACATCTCTAACCTTTCAGAACAGGGTGTTCTGAAATCCAGATGGGACAGTTTGCCGGAAAAATACAGCTGGCGTTACCTGGGACAAGAACATAACGTCCCGGGCAATGAGCTGGCAAGAACCAACGGAGTGATAGCTTTTATCTCAAGATTGAGCAAGGATTTCCGCCCCCACTTTGACTTAGGCAAGAAAAACCCAAAGGACACATATAATAGACTGGGTGGAACCAGGCTCAATAGCAGGAACTGGGAGGGGGATCTCGGAGTCTTAGTGGACAACCAGCTAAATAGGAGCCAATGTTGTGCAGCAGCAGCCAAAAAAGCCAATGCAATCCTAAATTGTATTAAAAGAGGGATACAATCAAGATCAAGAGAAGTACTAATACCACTCTATAAAGCCTTAGTAAGGCCACACCTAGAGTACTGCATCCAGTCTTGGTCACCACACTATGAAAAAGATGTTGAGACTCTAGAAAGAGTGCAGAGAAGAGCAACCAGGATGATGAGGGGAATGGAGACTAAAACATATGATGAATGATTGCAGGAACTGGGCCTGGCTAGTCTAGGGAAGAGAAGGACCAGGGGAGACAGGAGAGCAGCCTTCCAATATCTCAGGGGCTGCC